AGACATTTGCGCATGTATCTAAGATCAACACAATTCATTTATTACTCTCTTTAGCTATCTTCAACACCGTACTCTGGATTGACCATTACTATAATTCAATGTGAAAAATACCTTTCTATATGGCAAGTTGTTTGAATAAGTATACATCTTGGCTCCACCAAGATGCACAACATAAAAAAGTATAGTCAAAAGGTGAGCAAATTAAAAAGAAAAATATTATGTGGATTAAAGCAATCACCGAGAGTATGGTTTGGAAGGTTCACAAAGTCAATGAGAGCTTTCTTTCTATCTTAAAGAAAGTATGTTTTAGATCTTTTACATGAGACTGGGATGTAAGTGTTTGATCAAACGCTTAGCACTAAACCAAAAGCTATAGTTGTTAGTTAATGCATAACTCTTTCTACTAACTCGTACTAGCCTAAGTGTCATGCTTCGATCGAACTCCGACCAACATTAGGTCTTTTCAAGGCAGGATGTTGGTCTCACCAATAATTTCCACTAACAGTTTAAGGAATCAAACTCACAACATTGACTTTGATAGTATATGTTAGATAAAGCATGTACTTTTAAACAAAAAGTTGTAATGGTTAGGGTGTAACTCTTTTTACTTACCCTTATCGGCCCAAGAACCATAATTCAACTTATCTCTAACCCGTACTAGGTTTTGCTAAGGCAGAATGTTAGCTTAAGCAATAATGGGTAGGGGAATACAAGTCTCATGTTGTAGGATACTTGTTATCTTATGCCATAGACACAAAGCATGTGAGACCCACTCTTTTAAAAAAAGATTCATTTTTTTGCAGCTAATGTAGATAAATTATTTGTATTGAGCCCAAAATGACGTTGTTTTGGAGCGAAAATCAAGGTGTTTTTGCGATTTTAATTTATTTCAGGGTTATATAATCTTTATCATTATAATTTTATCTGCATTCACTCCCAAAATGACGTTGTTTTTGGAGTGAATGCAGATAACTTATCATTATAATTATAAATAAATGTTGTCACAACTTTTGATGATGAGTAGTAGAGGTATGTTATCTCATGTAACAAGAGGAAAACATACCCCTTATTGTTACTACATAAAGTTAAGATTAAATACCCTATTTGGTCCTCAGCAAATTTCACGATGCCCTCTTTAGTCCCTAGCAATAAAAAAGGTCATTCGTGGTCCATAATTTTTTCAAATTAGGCCCACGTTAGTCCTTCCATTAGTAGGGCTCCAATGTCGTTACTAACGTTTCTCACGTGGATTGTTAAGTCGCTGAGTCAGATTCCATGTAAGATATAAAAAAGACGTCGTATTAGTTTTCCACGTCAATCTACAGTGGCTGTATTCTTTCTTCTCTTTTGTTTCTTTATTTCTGGAAATACAATAACCTCAATTCCAACACCAACAAAGTAAACAAAAAATAGTAGCTAGTAATCGGCCTTTACTATAGCCTCAGTGAATTTAAAATCTTCCCCTCTTTTGGACCTTTTATTATTTTTTTCTGTCCCCTCACCCACAACAAGAAGCATAGCCACCTCAAATGAACCATTCGTATCATAAAAACTCCCAAGGCCACTATTAGCTGATAAGATGATAGCAGAGGCTTCGTATTATCTTCTTTGCCTTCTTGAATCAGACATTCTGAAGATCCGACTTGTTGCGCAGGTGTTTCTGATTCGGTGGCTTTTCTGGGACACAATGTCATCTTTATAGGGATTGCAAGAGGAGCCATGAGAAGAAGAATCGTCACAAACACCAAAATATATGACACTACATCACTTATGTGGAGAATCTTGCCATGTACTATTGTTGCAAGTATACATAAACCCAAGGCCACACTTAAACCTTGGATAAATTGAAAATGCTCTTTTTCACTAGAATCTTGACCAGAAGCTGGAGTACAAAGGCAAACAAGAAACATCATACAGAAACATAAAACAAGAATACTAATGGCAAGGAACAATAGGAACTTGGAAGAAGAATTATGAAGAAATATGCTGTAAATTTCAATAAAAACTGCAGCACTGAGCTCCGCATAACCTTTTAGTATTCCTGAAACTGTGCCTCTACTAACATGGAAATTTCTCATGTTGGTCACAAGAATAGCAATGGATAACCATTAACAACTGTTGGTAGCAACAACGAGGGCAAACCGTAACTGCAATATGATAGAAGGACATGACAATTATTCCTTTTCAACTGCTTAACAGAGAATCCACTATATATGGCAATTATTTAATGAATCTATTAATTCCATGAAATGAAAATTATTGACCAAGAATTGCAAAAAAATCTCCATTTTAGACAAGTTTGGTACTATAATATGTACTGTTCCTACATAACTGCTTTTAGTTGTCTCAGATCAAGTTTTATTTTTTATTTTTATTTTTTTACAAGATCAAGTTTGTCTTTGAGAAGGAATAAGGATATTAAGATTCTCAGAAGAAATTTTTTTCCAAAATCTATGTTCCCAAAAACAAAAAAATAAAGAAATGAAGATAGAAAAAGAAAAAAAGTTAGAAAAAGTAAGGGGTGTAGAGAAAAAGGAGCAGAAGATGAAGAAATGAAGATACCAAATAGTAAGGAATCTGAAGTGTGTTGCTGATAGCGAGCTAGAGAACACCAAAACCAAGGAAAGAGAAGAGAGCATCGATGAAAAGGATAAGCCAAGGTGGGAACTTGTTGCATGCAAGACCAGGAAGGAGCCCAACATTCTAACCAATATCATTGGCAACACCAAGCAGGGTAATCTGGCTCTGGTTGAAACCAAGAACAGATTTCAAGGAGTGGAAGTGTAGCCATTTCCTGAAGCAATTTGAATCCACACAGCAGCACCAAGTCCGACCTATGGTGATCTCGTCCCTCCTTTCAGATTCAACATTGGAACTTAGCTTCTAAGTTGTGCTTTGTTGTTGAAGATGAAAAGTAATGGAGACTCACGGACATAAAGCACAAATGAAGAAGCAAACAAAGGGTTTGAGTCAAAGTGTGGAGTGTGGTGGAACCATTTACTTTGTGCTACTTGCACTCAACGGTGGAAGATGGTGGTGTAAGAAGGGTTCTGATCTTGGACGAGAGAAGAAGCAAACAAAGGGACGACGTCGTTTTATATCTTAAGAGGAATTTGACTCAGCGACTTAACGGTCCACGTGAGAAACATCAGTAACACGTTCGAGCCCCACTAACGAAAGGACTAACGTGGGTCTAGTTTGAAAAATCAGGGACCACTGATGGCTTTTTTTATTGTTAGGGACTAAATAGGGCATCGTGAAATTTACTCTAAAGTTAATGGGAAATAGTTTTTTCATGTTACATCAGAAAATTTTCTCATGCTACACTCACAATACATGAGTGGGTCCCATCTTGACTTTTTTGTCTTATCACCTTTTTATGGACCCCACTCATGTATTGTATGTATAACATGAGAAAATTTTCTCATGTAAAATGAGAAATTTAATTCCCAAAGTTAATTAGTGTATATATAAATAGGGGTTTATACTTCTTATGCAACATAAGAAGAGTCTTCTCATGCTACGATCACATCATTTTGCTTGCCAATATTTTTAATTATTTTTTTTTCTAGTGGGGCTCATTCGAGTATATGGGTGCTGCAAAAAATTCTCTTCTTATGTTGCATAAAAAATATAAACCCCATATAAAATACAAATAAATGTTTATATACCACAAAAAGACCTATTATGTGGCGATTAACTGCCACGGTATACAATAACATTACAATTAATACAACATTTAACCCAATGAAAAAAATATGGAAACTAACTTCAATGGGAAAAGAAATTTTTAAATTATTTTTAATGAAATGAGAGAATTTTTTATTAACTATATTTAATAATTTTTAATTATTAAATTATAAATTTAATATATTAAATTATAAATTGAAATATTAAATTTATAAATTAAATGAAAATTAAGCACCTGCCTAATAAACAAATAAATCTTTTATATAAAATACTAAATGCATATGGTATAAACATATCTTTATAAATTTATTATTTAAATAAATTATTTCATATTTTATAAAAATATTTTATTATACTTAAAATGAATCTTTTTGTTAGAAATGAAAGCTAATTTGTCAGCAGACCATATTAAAGGGGCAGCTCTCGCAAATCTTTCTTTGTCCAAGAGATGTTTAAATTAATCTATATTTTAAGGTAATACCTTAATTTTTTATTTAAAATGGGAGTAAGAGTAAATGATTAGACTATATATATATATTTTTTTTTTGAAAATATTCCAATCGGTTCATTGCTTCGCAACTAATCCGATTCGGGGCGGGTCCAGACTTAAGGCTTTAAACCTCTCCCAAAGGTGGTACTAGAGAGATTAGACTATACTTTTTCATTAAAACCAAACATCACCCTCAAGTTTTATTTTTTCTCCCCTATTATAATTGCTAGATTATGAAGAAGTTAATGATAAAATAAAAAATTAGTATAAATTTATCATCAATAAAAAATTAGAAGTAAATTTAGACCTACAATATGTTTTTTTTTCCTATATACAACCTTGAAGGAATATAAATTTAAGGGAAAAATATTTTTGCACTTACTGCAGATAAGTTATTTACATTTAATATCAAAACGACGTCGTTTTGGTATTGAAATCTTGAAAATTATAAATATAAAGACTATTATAATCCTGAAATAAATTAAAATTACAAAAATACCATGATTTCTGTCTCAAAACGACATTGTATTAGGGCAGTCTACAAATAACTTATCTACAATAGTTACAGAAAAAATAACCCTGAATTTAATATTTGAAGTGTGGGATAGTAAGAACAGTGTTATAAGAACTAGATCAGTTCAACTTGAAATCTGGTGAACCGATCGTGACAACGACATAGGAAAATATCCTTGCCATATCATCATTATCATGATGGATCATCATGGACATGGTGCATGTGCATAGGAGAGGCGCAACAGAGAGAAGAAGAATGGGCTTTGACTTCAATTTTTTTTTGTCAGACAGAAAATAGAAGGAAAAAGAAAGAAGGAAGAAAATTCAATCTAGTCGAATACTATCTTGACGTCCGCAATGACTCTCTCTCTCTCTCTCTCTACTTTCTCTCTCTAAAACACGCAGCAAGAAGCAAACAGCAACTGTGCGTTTTATTGAGATGCATAGATTGAAGATTATGGTGCTCTTACACTGAGAAAACCCTAGGCAACCTCAGCTCATGTATACTGGAATCAAATTCAGAACCCCAAGTGGAAAGTTCCAAACTTTTTGTTCGTTATCAATTCTGTGATCAGTTCCCAGATTATATTATTCTTCAATTTCTCAATTTTGAACTCCCGGTGAGTCATGACAAGTCTTGACGCTACTCTTTTTGAAGTTTGACCCTTTTGCCTCTGTTTCTGTCTCTGTTTCCCTCAATTACCGCACCCCATTCACCTCATTTATAGTTCTTGGTCGTTGATTTGCTTCAGCTACGGCTCGATCGATGCATATCAGCTGCTACTTTTGTCCCCACTGTGTTTTATACTTTGATAAAGTTTCTGTCTTAGGCCTTTCAATACTTTTTTTTTTCACCCCTTTCAATTGAGCTTAGAATTGTTTAAAAAAATGGTAATTTTGAAGTGATAGCTTGGATTGTTAGTTTGGGGTTTTATTCACTCTTTTGTGATATGTGTGCCTTAATTTGATTAAAGCTGATTTTTTTTTTTAAATAATTTTTTTAAGGCTTTGGTGATTAGTGTGATACTTATGTTGATTGGAATGTGGTGGATGTTTTTATAATTATTGGATTATTGGTTTATTATTGTGTGCACTGGTTGGTGGGTTGGATCTGAGGAGTCATGTGTTGTACAGAGATTCATGCGAAAGCCATTTGAAGGTTGCTCATATAAGGGAGATAGCTCAATTGTAATGTTCAGAATCAAAGATTGTTTCTTGGTTTTGGTTTTCTTTGGTCTATGGCTTGTGTTTGGTAAAAATCAACACCACGTGCTTCTGTTGTTGGATCACAGGGAAGACTCTAAAGCCTTTGGCCTTGGACTTTGGGTTGAAATACTATCTGGGTTGACCGTTATGCCCAGTTTCTCACAAGCTGTTGTGTAATTGTAGTTTGTTGAAACCATGTTTTATATAACTTAGTTGTTCTGCTTAGGTGATTTCTTGAAGACTGTAATATTGAATGATGGGGCCTCCGGGGCCGCCCACTCCCATTGGTGGTGCCCAGTCTGTTTCACCCTCTCTATTGAGATCAAATTCAGGAATGCTAGGAGCTCAAGGGGGTCCGGGTCCTGTGCCTTCGCAGACATCTTTCCCATCACTTTTGTCTCCGCGTACTCAGTTCAACAACATGAACATTCTAGGAAATATGTACAATGTAACTTCCTTACTGAATCAATCTTTCCCAAATGGAGTTCCAAATCCTGGGCTCTCCGGTCCAGGGAGTAGCCAGCGTGGAGGGGTTGATACCGGAGCTGAAACAGATCCACTCTCCGGTGTTGGTAATGGAATGAACTTCAGTAATTCTTCATCCACATTTGTACAATCTAATATGGTGAATGCTGGTTCCTCTGGTCAAGGTCAGGGTCAACAATTTTCAAACCCTTCTAGTAATCAGTTGTTGCCAGATCAACAGCATTCCCAACAGCTTGAACCTCAAAATTTCCAACACAGTCAGCAGTCATTGCAACAGTTCTCTGCTCCTCTGAATACACAGCAGCAACAACAGCAGCATTTTCAATCGATTCGAGGAGGGATAGGTGCTATGGGATCAGTAAAGTTGGAGCCCCAGGTAAACAACGATCAACTTGGACAGCAGCAGCAACAGCAACAGCAACAGCAGTTGCAATCATTGAGGAATCTTGCTCCAGTGAAATTGGAACCACAACAAATTCAAACAATGAGAACTCTGGCACCAGTTAAAATGGAGCCGCAGCATTCTGATCAACCATTATTTTTGCAGCAGCAACAACAACAGCAGCAACAACAGCAACATCAGCAGCAGTTGTTCCACTTGTCAAAGCAATCCTCTCAGGCTGCTGCTGCTCAGATCAATCTTTTGCACCATCACAGGCTTTTGCAATTACAACAACAACACCAGCAGCAACAACTCTTGAAGGCAATGCCTCAACAACGGTCTCAACTACCACAGCAATTTCAACAGCAGAATATGTCTATAAGGTCTCCTGTGAAATCTGTATATGAACCTGGGATGTGCGCTAGGCGGTTGACACATTACATGTATCAGCAACAACATAGACCTGATGTAAGAATTAATCTATATATTGACATTTTTCTGTGTGTAAATGTCTTATTAAGAGGTATATACACTTTGATTTAATGCAGGATAACAATATTGAGTTCTGGAGGAAGTTTGTTGCTGAGTATTATGCTCCCAATGCCAAGAAGAAGTGGTGTGTTTCTATGTATGGAAGTGGCAGACAAACAAATGGAGTTTTCCCTCAGGTCTGTTGTTACATAAATCCTTATAAACTTATTCTAATTCCTGGATAACCTTATCTAAGTTCATAACTTTATTATTGAATGGTCAGTTATTTGCATCTTGATTTTGTTGTTGTGATTGTGGTATTGTTATGTCTCAGGACTCAAGTAACTATTACCTTAAATGTTGCCATGAATATTTTATGGGATTCAAGGTGCCAGCTACAGTAGTTTCATGTATGTTAAGCATTAGTTTAAGCTAAAAGATGGATTCTTTAACTATTTTCAGGATGTATGGCACTGCGAAATATGTAATCGCAAACCTGGCCGCGGGTTTGGTAAGTTTTTTTCCTTTTATTTTTGGGTCATTTTTTCTGCATTTCCTTGTTCAGTCTGTTTGCTTCTTCACTGTTTGAATGTTGGCATATTTACCTTTTGTCAAATATATGTAAGAAATATGGGTTGTTTGTAGCTGTTATTTTGACGCCCTATCCTCTTTCTGAATGGTTAAGTTTTTTGTGTGTTTTCAGAGGCAACTGTTGAGGTTCTTCCCAGGCTTTTCAAGATAAAGTATGAAAGTGGTACTTTGGAAGAGCTACTTTATGTTGACATGCCCCGCGAATATCATAATTCCTCTGGCCAGATTGTTCTAGATTATGCAAAAGCAATACAAGAAAGTGTTTTTGAGCAACTTCGTGTTGTTCGTGATGGTCAACTCCGAATAGTTTTCTCTCCAGATCTGAAGGTCTTGTTAGAAATAATAACTTAAATTTAACCGGAAAATGCTTATGTTACTATCATTCTTGACTTTCTCTAAAAAGTTTAATTGACATTCCTTTGCTTATTATTTCTTTGCAGATATGCTCTTGGGAATTTTGTGCTCGGCGCCATGAAGAGCTCATCCCCAGAAGATTGTTAATACCTCAGGTAGCTGATTAAGTAGTTGCATTATGAGAAACCTTTGTAATATAAGGGATAGATTCTCTGTTTATTTAAATTGACATGATACCTGGCTGGTTGATTAATAAACCCATATATTCCTATCTTGTACCAGATGCTTACAACATACCCGGTAACAATAGGTAACATTTTCTGTTGATAGTTAGAATTAGTTTTTTTTTTCATGTGACTGTAGGTCTGTTGTGAGTTTTGAGATTGTTATTTGATAAGATATTTGCCACAGATCTATGAATTCCTGTTTCTGTTGCTAGTTAGTTATTATGATTATAATTATTATTATTTTGCTCAGAATGCCTTTTGCAATGCTGGTGTTATCTTGTAGAGGTTTTAACATAGTAATGTTTGGCTATACATTTAGTTATTTATTATACATAATGGTTATTTATTCTTATTTTTACTTTATTATTATTATATACAGGTTAGTCAGCTTGGAGCGGCTGCTCAAAAATATCAGGCTGTTACTCAAAATGCAACGCCCAATATATCTGTTCCAGAGTTACAAAATAATTGCAATATGTAAGTCCATTTTGCCATTTATTCTTTGGGTCGCTTTTTCTACAGTCAATGTAGATAACTTATCTACATTAAGCTCAAAAGCGACGTCGTTTTAAGGCGGAAATCAAGGTATTTTTGTAATTATTACTTATTTCAGGGTTATAATAGTCTTTTTCATTATAATTTTTTAATTTTTCAACTCAAAACGACGTCGTTTTGGGAGCGATAACATTAAATCCTTATTCTTTATGTTAATTTCTTGCCCTTTGAGCCATTTTAATTATCTAGTTTTGATGTATTTTACAGCCTAACCTGATGAAATTCTTCGTGATGCTAGCCTTCTTTAAAATTTGAATATTATGTATGTTAATTGTCTTGTAACTTTCTTATTCCAAGACCTTGGTACGTGCCATGGCTTATTTCCTTTTGAGCAGGGATTTCATGTGAACGTTTCACCATGCTTATCTCCTCTAGTACACTGTAGTCTGCAATTTGTTATATTCTCTTTTTAGCCCTTCTTTTTGGTGATCGATCCTCTTGTATAAATTAAACCTTGTTTACTGGTCTCTTCATAGTGGTTTCTTATTATAATATAATGAAAGATGCTGCAGTGTACTGGTTCTTGACTTGCACTCCTGATTAACATATGGTGCACAAATTTTTCTTATCCTTGTAATGTCAAAATGCTATATCTAGAATCACTTGATATAGATTATTTAGTGTTTAACTTGGCTGGCTGACCCGTTTCTTGGAAATATAGATTTGTATATTTTGATTTTGTTTTTTTCCCAATGAACTTTTTTCCCTGGGTTATTATGGAAGTAATGGGTTCTGGTCTTGCTGCTGTTAGAAGTGGTGCCTTTGCATGTGAATCTTATGACATTCTGGAATATGTTACATGCTCGATACAGCCATTTCCTATTTCTGGATGCTGTTTCTTGTTGGTTGTGCTTGCAGTTTAGGTTGACTAAGTCCTTTCTCTTGATCTCTTTTTGGTCTAACTTAATTAGGATTGCTTTTTATAATAAGTTTTTGATTTTCTTTTAATAATTTTATATTCTTCTTTTCCAGGTTTGTTTCATCAGCCCGTCAGTTGGCTAAAGCTTTAGAAGTTCCATTAGTTAATGATTTAGGATATACGAAGAGATATGTGCGCTGCCTACAAGTAATGTTCCATTCTTAAGACATTGCTTACACACACACACACTCTAATATTTAATCTATATATTTATGGGAAAATATTTTTGTATTTCCATTTAATGTTTCAAATAGCACTTGGTTTCTTTTTGCGGAACTACTGTGTCCCCTTCATGTACACACACACACATATATTCTAATATTTAATCTATATATTTATGGGAAAATATTTTTGTATTTCCATTTAATGTTTCAAATAGCACTTGGTTTCTTTTTGCGGAACTACTGTGTCTCCTTCATGTTTAAATGCAATATTGGGAAATTTGTGAACAGAACACCCCATTGGCCCTTGGTTGTTTTGAAATCCTTACTTGGTTTTGTTTCTCTCAATGTGACTGCTAAGTGTAGCAATTATTCTAGTTTCAGTTTATATTATGTTTTCTTGAATCAATGTTTGTATTAGACTCTTCTCCCAAGAGAGGACTTGGTACCCAGTAATTGCTGGCTGATGTTTTGGTGATGATTTTATATTTTGGTAAAGAAATTGTCTTCTGTATTTTTTTGGGAGAGTAGTTATCGAGGGCTAAATAAATCAGGAATTCTTGGCATTTGACTAAAAAGAGAAAACAAAATCCCTCTCCCGCCCCCACAAATACTGTATTAACAAAAGAATTAATGTTAAATTAATCAGAAAAATTATGAGTTCGGGCAGAGGATAATTTCCATTGATCTCTACTGAGGATATGCCAAGTCAACATGACAAACTTTGGTTTATTGTTTCTTACTTGTTTATGTTGCAGATATCAGAAGTGGTAAATAGTATGAAAGACTTGATAGATTACAGCAGAGAAACAGGGACTGGTCCTATGGGTAAGTTAATAATTAGTGTAATGGTTGATTCCTCATTCGTGAGTTTGAGGTCAAGAGGCTGCTGAAAGTTGACTGTACGTCTTTGAGAAACCAAAGTTTTCCATTTTGTGCTTTTTGTGTCAAGTATGGAATCAATTTTGTTGTACATGACATTGTTTACATGGGCAACCGGTTTTGCTGTGATCTCTCTTTTTTATCCCTGTACCTAGTTGGGAACATGAGTTCTAACTCTCTTCACTTTATTTCTATAATGTCATATCACTTAACCAGAGGAAAGTTTAGGTCCTTGAGATAACTAGGTGGAAATGTTTTTTTTTTTTTTTTTTTTTTTTTTTGGTTATGAAGTTTTTTTCTTATATTAATAATTATTGCCAGTTGTTTGATTGTGATGATAGGGATAATGGAATGTTTCTTTTTGTTTTTTTTGGGCCTTCTCTCAGAGAGCTTGGTCAAATTCCCTCGGAGAACAAGCGGTTCATCTGGACTTCGTAGTCAAGCACAACATGAAGATCAATTACAGCAGCAACAACAGCAAATGGTGGGTCATAACTCAAATGGTGATCAAAACTCAGCTCAAGCTGCTGCCATGCAAATTGCCTCTAGTAGCAATGGTATGGTTAGTGTAAATAACTCTGTCAACTCAGCATCCACATCAACCACCACAAGTACTATTGTTGGACTTCTCCATCAGCACTCTATGAATTCTAGACAACAAAGTTCAATAAACAATGCAAGCAGTCCATATGGAGGTAGTTCTGTTCAGATTCCATCCCCAGGTTCCTCCAGTACCGTGCCACCAGCCCAGCCAAATTCATCCCCTTTTCAATCACCAACACCATCCTCGTGTAACAACCCCCCGCAAACATCTCACCCTGCCTTAATGTCGACCAATCACATAAGTACAGCAAACTCACCAGCTAATATTTCCTTGCAACAACAGCAGGCATCTCTTTCTGGTGAAGCTGATCCTAGTGATGCTCAGAGCTCAGTCCAGAAAATCATACATGAGATGATGATATCATCCCAGATTAATGGCACAGGTGGAATGGTAGGTGTTGGTTCCCTTGGAAATGAGGTGAAGAATGTAAATGGTATTCTGCCAGTGAATGCCAATACAGGGCTCAACAATGGAAATGGCCTGGTGGGCAATGGCACACCTAACAGTAATTCTGGTGTTGGTGTTGGTAGCTATGGCACAATGGGTCTTGGGCAATCCACTATGCCTAATGGAATCAGGTCTGCTATGGTAAATAATTCAGTTATGAATGGAAGGGGAGGAATGGCATCTATTGCTCGGGATCAAGCTATGAATCATCAACAGGATTTGTCAAACCAGTTACTTAGTGGGCTAGGAGCAGTAAATGGTTTTAATAATCTTCAATTTGATTGGAAACCTTCTCCATGAGAGCCTTTTTAGATGGTATGAATGTGGTTCTTGACAGCTGCTTGTGCAGCATGAGAAATGGTAGAATTGCCTTCTGCCCCCAAATGATGGCATAACGCAATTGAGTAGTGATAGGGAGTAGGCCAATCTGCGAATATATGATTTTATATATTTAAGAAATGAAAATTTGTTGGCTGGTTGTGTGGCTGATGGGGCTGATTTTTTTTGTGAATTCAAGTGTAACTTTTTATTTTACTTTTTATATCTTCATGAGCTTTCACAAACTCATCCTTATAAACGCCACCCGAGGAAGGGGACGAGTTTTGAGTAACAAAAAGCATCTGGTTGGAGAGAATAGTTAAAAGATATTATCTTAAGCGAAGATAAATTTGAAGTTCCACTACTGACGGAAGTAATCCACATTCAAACATTGAATGAAGTCTGTCTGTTTATCCAATGCAACCTTTACAAATTGAAAAAAGAAGGGTGCGAACTACGAAGCATTATTTGAAGTGTTGAAATCATTGATGGAAAGACGGTCTTTAACTTAAAAATACTACCACTTGCCTTATTGGGCATGGAAAAGAATGGAAGAAAATGAAAATTGGCAATGTCACTATTCTCATTTCTCCCATTCCAGTCCTTTCATTTTTGGCACTGTAATAATGCATGACCTTATTTATCATTTTTCTCATTTCATATATCGACATATTTTTCCACCGTTGCGGTCAAAGTAGATTTGGGAACTGCACCAATAACGCTTTCTTTTTTCTCTCCATTCTTGAAGAATAGAACTGTTGGTATGCTTCTGATGCCATACTGTGTTGCTATAGTTGGACAATCATCCGTGTTAAGCTTGTAGCATGCAATTTTTCCAGCATATTCTTTCGCTAACTCATCAATAATAGGTGCTATCATCCTGCATGGACCACACCATGGTGCCCAAAAATCTACCAGCACAGGGGTTTCACTTGCAATGACAAGGTCATTCCAGCTCGAGTCAGTCACTACTTGAACTGCCAAATTTGAGCATATGTATTATTTCATGTGACAGGACACAACATAGAGGGCTAAGTCACTTAAAGCAAATATGGTTAGAACTGTTACCTAAATTCAGAATTCTGTACAAGCCATGATATGATGCAAGCAAACATATACATCAATTTCGAGGTGATATTGAAAAAATCAATCTGCTAACTAATTCAAGCAAATACTTGGCTGCAAAAATTTGTACACGAAATCAAGTGCTACAATGACATTCCTGAGTGAATGTGAAGTTTTAACTTGTTTTGGCTCTATTCGTAAAGCACCGGGTGGTGTAAGTCCAGCCACGAAACATGTTCTAATGCAGTTTTTGATACTGGACTATTAGGAACGTTTCTTTGTAGGAAATAAGAAATAAAAGGTAACAAGCAAAGTGGTGGGGAATTATTTACCTTCATTTACTGCTTCACGAGCATTGCAAATAAAACGGGATTTTCTGTAGGCACCACCGGTTGTGTAGAGAGATGGGTATGATCTTGTTGAGTTTTGCATGGATTTCTTGAATCCTGTGTGAGTTGGGAAAACAAGCTTTTCCCTTGAAGTTGAAAAGATTGGAGAAAGGCATTGGGGTCTGGTTGTGCCTACTGTGGTTACTCGTATACAGCTCTCTAGGGCCATGCTGCTTTTGTGTAATTCCTTCCACAAGAGGGTGTGGAAAATGCACCCCAGGCTTTCTGGACTTGTGGATAAGATCCTGTGTGTGCTGCTTTCAACTTATTTGGTTTGATTCTGTAGGTATATCTGTTAAGTGGATATTATTCCAAGATTGTGAGGATATAAGAAGGCTCAAATTCATGTGGATGTCATTTATGTTTTCGAAACTCTCAACTTTTATCCCACTAAGAAATATAAATCATCCAAAATTCTCAGAACCAGAAACGGTGATGTACACTAGAGTAGTAAGAGGTTATTCTTTACGTACTTTTTATTTTTATTTTTTTATTCTACAAGATATCATAAATGTAGATAATTGACTAGAGTTTTCTTATTCGCATATTCTTTTTGTTAATACTTTTAGCTTATCAAGTATCAACTCTTAACATTTCACCTATTTAAGTTGTCGGATAATATTATAGCATGTCACATTTTTTAGAGGATTCAAATTAGTTACATTTCACACATCTAATTGAAGACAATTACAATATTTTCTTCTATCATCAAAATTATATTACAATATTGGTAGAAATGTCAGTTATTTAACTGAAAGAAATGCAAATAAAATTGAAAATTAGTAACATATTTTTAAAATAATTGTTTGAGTCAAACTTCACCAAAATCAATTATCTAGATTAGATGTGCAACACCCATTAGATCATGTTGTTATCAATGGAAACGCAGGAATGCAAGTCGTTCTGCATCGGACATCAGGTATTTCAACTGGTCCATTTCAGGCCCAATTCAAGGGTCAATTCTCCTTTTTTTTCTTTTCACATGCGGCTCGCATGAGATCAAATAAAGCCCACAGAGAATTATGGGCTATTATTGAATCGTTACTTAGGAGGCGCCGGGTAGAATTTTTATCGAATTTTCTTTTTGGGAATATGGTGTAATTTTTTTTTTTTTGGTAAGTTACGAAAAAAGTGTTTGGTAGGCTTAAATTTTTTCCAGAAATATTGAGTTAATTCTATTGATATTATGAAAAAATAAAAATATCATGTATCAGATGATATTTTCATTTGAGAATATTATGTGTAAAATGGAATAATGAGAAAAAAAATTTCCTAAGATTATTTTCAGTTTCCTCATGTCAAACGTTGGAAACAAATTTGCCCCACCCCATTTTCCCAGAATTTCTAGGAAAATTCCACCACCAAACAGCCTCTATAGAGGGATTTTTTTTATTATGATCCAGGCCCATTTTACTGTTTGATGATCATTTTTCAAAAGGGGTAAAATTTTATCTCATTTATACCATTTTTTTCCCAAATTCTCCCTCCATCCTTTTTTCTTTCTATATTTAGAAAAAGAACTGTTGCTCCGGGACCACAACAAACAAGCTCCCCAAAGAGATTGTAAAATAGGAAATGGAATGGTGGTGATGGTTTTGAGTAATTTATATTAGATTATATTTTCAATTTTTATCATTGTATAAAAAAATTAAGAGGAAGGTTATACTTATAATTTTTTTTACAACCTCTTACAACCATATATTAATACTGTTGATTTGCGTCAATCAACGGTTATCATTTATTGTGAATTAATAATTAATTAATGAGTTTAATTTGCGAAAATCATAACCGTTGATTAGCAGAAATCAACGGTGTTAAGATATGGTTGCAAGAGGTTGTAAAAAAAAGTTGTAAGTATAACCTTACTCAATAAATAAATAAATAGGAATACAGAATTTATTGAAAAATAATTGTAGATCTTAATTTTTTTTCTACTATACTGCCAGGCTTAAAAAAAACTGAAGTCTATATAGATGTTTGTAATTTGTAATGCAGAATGCTTGAGGCAATTTCTCTGGATTTCCATGAATATTGTTAAAATGACTCAGACTTTCCCTACAAAATTGGCCTAAGTATTATGCACATAAAGACTTGAGTAAGATCTCAAAAACGCTGATTCTTGAGTCCCTGAATTCCATGTCTGACGTGCACTCTTCCTCAGCAAGGGGTGGGTGGGAGTTGCGTGGCCTTGCGCTTCATATTATGCTTGTGCCACTCACTCTTGTGGTGTTCCTGGTACAACCGCTTTGATTCTTGAAAAGAAACATTGCATGTGCTGCACTTGTTTCGCTTTCGTTGTCACATTGGAACCCCACTCATGGATGAAACTGAAGTTGTCTGCATTTGTAGGTGTGTATAATAACCTTCTGAGATTTTTTTTTTTTTTTTTTCAATCTCTGTTCCGGGATCAGATAGAAATAGCTTTTAACAAAAATAAACAAAAATCGATTTATTTTTTTGTTCTGTAAGGTTCAATTTGTGTGCTGAGTAAAGAAAAGAAAAAAAAAGAGATAGGATGCAACCTGTCAATGAAAAGATGATTTCGCCAGTAACAAGAAATGCAGTAATTTCTATAATTATTTCTCCCGACCACATTTGCCTGTAAAGTTCGTTATCTTTCCTGCTAAACACGAACCATTGTTCTTTCGCAGAATGCCACCACAACCTTTTGTGTTTAGAAATTAGCTTCTTTATCTTCATTAAATGCTTTTTTTCCTAAACTTGATACCCTTTGAATTAGTTATATCGTTCTCAATAGATTAAATTATATTTTCCTTGAAATGCAAAACTGCTACATTGCTAACACACAAAACACGCATGAACACACCCTGACACAGATAAACAATTGTAGGCTTTTGCAATTGCATTTTAAGCTGTATGTGTACCATTGTGATGCTTTGGCATTAAGGGGCCAAGGAGGGCGAGAAAAAAGGCAAACGAGAAAAGAATATTTCATAAGGGAGTGTTCAATACTCAAAATTTACAACCAAATAAATTAAACTGACGAGACACACCAGAAGCTAATTTAACTTCGAGACTTAAATGTACGTTCATCGGATTTCTATATGAAATTTGAATTAATTAGGTTCTGACTGGGTTTGTGTTGTGAAACAGGAAAATCAAGGACTTGGGTGCTTGTTGGCTCATGCTGTTTTTTTTTTTTTGTTGTTGTTAAATCAGGGTACAAGTCATAAATTCTTTTCTTTTTATTACATAAAACGAGTCACACCAAATCACCAATGCAATTGAACTATGGGAAAGAGTAGATGGAAATAATGTTGCTAACAAGGAATCATGGCATGGAAAGCCTAAGCATAGCTGTTTTATGCTTCCTTGTCCTGCAGCCACGTTAAGCAGTTAAATAAAATGTAAGTTCGTTAAAAGCTTAAGATTGTACGTTAGCATACATCTGAAGAAACAAGCAAACACTACAATACGAATGACAAAATAAGTCTACAAACTAAACAAGCAAGCAAAAACTACATTATCAATACCATAATGAGTCTCACCTAACATGAATTATCTTGGTCACCTCCATGCTGAAGCAACAATCAAGTTTTTGTCTTCCCAACCAAAATGAAGAGCACCCATTTCCTCCTTTATCTTGTACCTGTCGCAGTACATCTTTATGAGTTTTCGGATTTCATCAGCCACATTTGTGCTCATTGGAGATGTAGTGAAGCCAGCCATTGTCATCCTTGCTCTCCATTTTCCTGCAAATTCATACCGTTCTATCCTATCCTCGCCTTCACATGCAACAATATTCACAATGTCCCTCGCTAAGCATTGTCTTTCAACATTCATCCTGTCCTGGCTTTCTCTTGGAAGGGTAACATCAAGAGACTCAAACACAGCAGAGTAGTATTTGTAGGCTTCAATAAATCTCGGTAAGAAGGGGGTGGTGTTAGTGTTTACATCTTGCTCCACAACTGTTACAAGCTTTGGTTTCAGGCTCTTCACCAAGCGAAGAAGTTGGTCTCTTTCATTTACTGTTGAAACACTCTCATCAGGCATGTGATGAAGCTGGAATGCAAAGTTCACCACAAGTGCTTCTCCAGGAAGACAATTGAGCATTGATGGGGTGACAACTGAAACCCTTGATGCTACTGCTCGAAACTCGAATGGCATCCCGAGTACTTCTGCAAGTTTTTCAAGTCTTAGTCCTATGATCTTTAAGCCTCCAACTGATCTCTGCACAGACTCAGGATCATCAACCCCAGTTAATCTAACATGGGGTGGCTTACTTGACCTTGAAGCAAGTATTTGAATTAGATTTATGTATTGACTTCCTTGATTGATGTCAAAATCTATTATATGAACCTTCATGTCATCTTTAACTGCCTCTGAAATTGCATTGTTAGCAGCAATAAATCCAAATTTAAAACATGGGCAAACCTCAAATAGTATCTGCATGGCTGCTAGACGGTCTGAAGAAGGAGGTTCCTTGCATTTCAGAGCTTTATAAATGCTTTTGCCAGATTCAGCCAAGCGAGCTGCAAGTCCCTCCACCATATATGCTGCAATTCTTTGGTATGGATCTCCTTGAATTGAGACCATTTTCCGGAGATTGTTTATCATAGATAAGGCTTCCTCTTCATTTCCTTCTGAAAGTGCAATAGCACATTCATAAAGCAGTTGCTTGGGGGTCCGAGAAATATGTGATATTTCTTTGCTGCTGCTGATACTGCTAATAATGGAATCTGAAGATGAATACTCCTTTGGTGAGTCATAGAGCAGCATATTCTGAACGGGATCAGCCCACTCAGCTATGTCAGGATCAATTTCCATGCTTTGAGCAGTTCCAAATATGTCTTCTTCCTCCTCCTCACCATCACTATCATTAAGCAATGCCCTCTCCAATGCTTGTAGTTTTAATCTCATTAGACCATCATCCTCAAATGAGTCCAGGCTTCCATTTTCCAACAAATCTGATCCATAGTTGGACTCATAGACATCATGGTGCCTCGTAGACATGAAAGATGTATCAAATGGGTCATTAGCAACCATACTAGCTCCTGAACTAGCTCTGAGCTGGTAAGAAGATGCACCCTCAGGGTGAATTGAACTTCCAGAGATGCCGGAACTAGATGGTTCTATCAGTTCTTCTGTTTGTGAGTCATGGAAGTACTTCTCATAACTCTCACTGGAGTAAGTATCTGTCATGTACACGGTTCTATGCTTATCAGAACCAAACATTTGGGAGGACAAGTCAGGTCTAGCATCGGTTCCCTTTAATGAGTAGAGCTTGGTATTTTTATACGATGTAGGAGCTACCTCAGCAGTCCTAACTAATGACATGGTTCACCTGTTATTCAGTACACACAGAATTTCAGATTGTATCGAAAACATCACTTATATTAGCCAGAAAAATGTTATAAAGTCTGCAATAAATTACAACTACCAATCTTTATTTCCCTATCCCACCTTGAGAAATAGTAAACCAGGCAGAGTCGCTCACTGATGAAATCCTGTTAAACCTTCTAGGATGACTTTGCCACGATGGGAGAAACAAAACGAGAAGAAAACTAATTTAGGAGAACCTTTCAATTAGAAAAATTAATGTATATAAATATGACAAAACATACTAGACACAGTTATGAGTTTAGTGGCCTCAGTAACAGATAAACAAAGTTAAATCATTATGAATAAGCTCGTTGATAATTCATCATGTTTCAATTCACCAAAGTTTCTATGTAAAAAAAGTATTGATACTTTCACAAACTTACACTCATATACTCGCACATACTCCTGTGCAAGTCATTGGATAACACCCTAGTCACACTACAACTAGATTATGGCCATCTCTCACATAATTTGTGCAAGTATCTATCCAATCCAAAAAATGAACTAATGGTCTTCAATAGAAACAGAATTTGATGTTACTGCATGCTTAGAAGACCCACTATGGTTGAAATTATTCAAGTACTATCTATGTTCTCACTTTGCCAACCAAGAGAATGAATTTCAAACTTAAAAACTTATTTATTAGATTCAGTCAAACATGAGTTCAAATGGCAGGTAAAGTTCCACCTTAGCGTAGCAAAGACCGTTATTCCTTACATAGTCACCTCGCCTTATCTGGAGGAGCAAAATAAATATTAAAAAAGAATGGTGTGCTATACATCCATTTTGAATATGAGCTTCTGTCTGCAGATACTAGAATCCAATCCACATAACAAAATGCATTCTTGAAATCAAATTGTGCTCGGAAAAAAAAAAATCAAAATCAAAATTTATCTATGATTATTCAGACATCCAACTAAAATCTTTACACCTTATCCGCCAAACTAGAAAATGAAGAAATCTTATAACGTTGCAAATCAAAAGCCCTGAGAATACATACTAACTCTAGCCAGAAAGAACATTGAAATGAAGCACCTGCCGTGGATACAAATTAAGATGTTAAAGATTAAGAACATTGAAATGAAGCATCTTTGTCTTTGTTTTGTCTATAGCTAGGAGAAATGGAGAATCTCCGGACAACAATATCTACTATGAAGAAACAGCATTTTTTTTATAAGTCAAAACAATGAGTAGACAGATGAAGCGATAGTAACAGAAAAGGCTAAACAAAAACCCTTTGGGAGCAAAGACCTATACAAGAAAAAATCAAAAACTTCCTTAGAACATTGAATTTTAACAAACAGCAAGGAAGAGGAGAAACTAAAGCGCCTTATTTAATCCAATCTTTACTTTTTGCATTTACAAGCATAATACTATAATATGTATCATCTGCCGCTGATTGACAATCAATTCCTAAGACTGCAACAGATTACTAAGTACCTCTTATTAGAAGAAAGGATCCAAGTTACAGAATTTAAAGCAGATCATCTAGATTCTGGAGGTAGAAATTAAAGATCAATTACCACAGAGAAGAAGTGTACCTGGTGGAAGTAGAAATCAAGAAGAAGAGAGTCTTCCTACCCTGTCATTTGTATACAAAGGCAGATGAAGATGAACCTCAGAGTTGTCTCTACAGGGAGAAGAAAGGTTAGCATAGGTTTTTGACAAATGGCATAGAGATATAGCCAAGCCAAAAGGCAATACCACCACTTGATGATTGTTTTCTATATAAAAAAATTCGTTGGATTGGAAGTTCAGTTTGGTTCAAAAGCAACAAAATAAGACAAAAGCCAATATTAGCAAGAGGGAACTTTGAGAACCGACATATAGAGTCAAGTTAAATGTAGATAACTAGATATAGAAAGGAATAAACCAGACTTTAAAACTCTTAATGATTGAAGAAAAAAAAAATGAGAATGAATCCTCTCACGTGAAAAAATAGTCAGGTGATCATGTTATTTGATCTTAATTATTCACTTAAAAATTATACATTTTTTTCTCTCTTATTTCATCATTAATGAGTGACTGCGATCAAATAACATGATCACATAATTACTCACTTTTTCACGTGAGAAGATCCATTCTAAAAAAAATAAACAAGTCAGTTAAGAGGAATTTCAGCAACCCAACTAAAACAACATGAACAGATTAATATTCCATAGAGACCCATTTGTTAAAAACAAAATGACAAAACTCCGAGTCTCTTGGTAAACAAGTGGAAAACACACCAATGACTTCCATCCAAAAATTAACGAAACTTCGTAGCATTCACCACAATATTGTTTTTTCTTTTTACCTTGTTCCCTTTGTTTCTTTCGTCTGTTTCCAATGTTTATTATACAAACTACAAACATCGTATGTTGATGTACCCAAAGGTGCAAACGGCAAACAAAATTCCTACACTGTTGAGAGGCATGTGAGGGGGGTAATTTCGTAATTGAGCCTTCTCATACAAAATATCGTGGGACTTGCTTCATTAAAACACGGTCAGAGTACGATGATAATTTATATCTGAAAATGGAACGCGGAATTTTACAGTGCTAAGTGACGTAAGATCTTACATCATGGTATGATCACTGTTCTTTTTGTGAGCGTGGAGTACGGAATAGGAATAACGATAAGTATTGTAATTTTCTAATAGCCAATTCTTTATTTTTTATTTTTAAGAAAGTCAAAGTTTTGAAGAGTTTTTCTAACTTTCGTAGATCGGACTTTACTTGCTACAAACTCAAATGTTGGTTAGGCAGTGGTGGAAGATTTTCTGTTCTGTGTACGCGTGAGATCTTCAGGTGGCATGCGGGTGAAAGGCACACAAACAACATTTCAACAAAGATGAAAGTGAAATGTCCTTTCGAGTACCAAATTGCTTAAAGATTTTTATATAAAAAATTTTCATTGCTAACTTATTTATCATTGAGTTATGATAAGTTTAAGGGTCCCTCTTTCCTCCCTTTCCTCTTTTCTATGTAAGAATTTTTTTTTTTTTAACTATATATACAATATATGATGGGTCTCACCTCGATTTAAAAAACAAAAACAAAAAAAGTTGTTGCACATATTTTGATGTATCTAGGGATGTTAACGGGCCGAGCCGAGCCGAGCTTTGGTCTTAAAAGGCTAAGCTTGTGTTTAAATGTGTCGGCCTTACCAAGCTTGTTACCTGTTACGAATATAATTATCGGTTTGTGGCCTATTTTATTTACAAAAAATAAAAGCCTGATTTAGCCTGTTAGCCAGTTAGAAAAGAATAAGATAACAAAAATTTATCCAAACAGAATATACAATCAACAACACTAGTAATTCCATAAATATTCATAAATTCAATGAATATCCAAACAGCATAATATAGAACAAAATCATTCAAAAAGTCTGTTTAACTAATAAAATAAGGGTGAAATGAATTGAGAGGAGAGAGAGGGCTATTATAAATAGTATAAAAAATATAAATAAAAATAAAAATTAATATACTAGGCCAGCCTGAGAGGCTCCAAGACCGAGCTTTTGAATTAAAGCCTGAGGCTTTTTTACTAAACGAGCTTTTATACAAGTCCAAGCTTGGTTCCAACAACCAATATTAGGCATGTAAGCTCAGGCCTTCACGAGCCGAGCCAAAGGCCCCTGACTCGTTTATCACCCCTAGATGTATCTCTAGTAGGAGAAAGAAATCTCCTATAACATGAGAATTCTTTTTCCCTATAAAACAATATTTTTATAATATTATTTGTTAGACTTTTTTTGTTTAAATTTTTTTGAAAAGATATTAAAATTACTTTTTAATAGTTTTATTTTAAAAAAACTAAACATATAGTCTAGTTAAAAAAAATCTTAAAAGTAAAAATCACATACAAACGGCTCTTTGTGTAAATCTAGTTAGCTAGTGGAGGAGGAAAGTGTATCCAATGGTTTTGTGACCTCTTGTGTGAAATGAATCTAATGGGTCATCAATCTTAGGAACAATGGGAGTCATTATGCAGTTGAAATTGCATGAAGCATCCAAGGATTAATATCCACTAGCTTTATTTCTAAATATGAAGTCCTAATCATCTGGTCCCATCTTATCCAAATGGAACAAATCAGGGGAGTTGGATTGCACGATAAGCAAATTAGTGATAACTTATTTATTAAAAGGATTTTCTTTTATTTGAAGTTGTTTACAGTTTGAGCTGCATTTACCTACATGATTATCTCCTTCGTCTCTAGATCATTATTATACTCTCTACTTACCCTTTGATTTTATCTATTAGATTTTCAATACACAACTAGTATTCTGTAGACAAGTCCCTTTTAATTATAAAAATAAGGTTTGAATAGTACCAAATGAACAGTTCAAGACAAATATGACTGGCTAAATACTCATTCAATTAATTGGATTGGATCCATCTTATTTGGGCTCAAGTGTGGAGTTGCCATAAGCTAGGCATACATACATAAAGAAAATCCATGGGCATACAAGGGGGATCAATCAAACCTGCAGTTAGGTTAATTTTTTTATTTTTATATAGGGTGAATCAGAAAACTAGACCTTGTTGTTAACTTATTCTCTTTGTGTTTGTATATCATATAAGGGAAAAATGTGTGTCATTTTAAAGAATGTAAAGTTATATTATTTTAAGAGAGAGAAAGAGATAGATAAAGGAGGAGAGAGAGTTGACAAAAAAATAAAGATGTGGGTCCCACCTCTTTCTGAGAGTGAAATAATATAAGTTGTGTCATTTAAAAGGATAAACATTTTTCTCATAATATAATGTGTTTGAGGAAAGGGGAGGAAGGAAAGACAATTGCTGATTAGAGGTGGGTTGGATTTAGTTATAGGGGTTTAGTGCTGATGGCATTGAGATATATTTCAATAATGTATTTAGAACATCTTTCCATTTTAGAAAACAAAGGTGTCATAGAGAATTTTAGCAGAGGTTAATACCAAAGCAGCCTATCAAAACAGAGGCGTCATTGAAAAATAAGTATAAAGTGGAGGATGGCTTGATGCCTATGATCAAGAAGAAAAGTGGATGTTCTAATTTATGGCTTGGATTATCTAGGGTATGGCCCAAAATTTACGAAGGGTCAAGGATTTTGATAGGGAATGGAGTTGACAGCTCTTTTTGGAATGATAAATGGCTATCAATTGGCCCTCTAAAGGACCACACAATCTAGGCCATACCACTTGAAGGCCAATTTGCTGTGATAGCACAAATGGTAGATCAGTTTGGAGAATGGAGATGGCAGGAGTTCGGTGATTATCTAACCCAAGAAGCTTTGAATTGTATTGCAGGTACTTTCCCTCCTCAACCGAATGATGGTGAAGATCAGGTGATTTGGGAGCAATCCCATGATGGCAAATTCTCCTTTAAAATAGCTTTTAATAGCCTATGCAGTGAAGATCCTCCCCAGGATCAACCCCATTGGAATTCAGTTTGGAAGTGGGAAGGACCTGCTAGAGTCAAGACGTTCCTTTGGCTGTTGCTTGGAGAAAACCTGCTAACTAACCAAAGGAGGTATCAAAGACACATATCTGACTCAAACACTTGTCTTAGATGTAATTCTTGTCTTGAAAGCTGCCTTCATGTCATGAGGGAGTGCCACTGGTCTCAACAAATATGGAGAAAATTTATCAGTAGGGAGAAATAGGAAGCTTTTAATAGCATGCCTCTTCAATCCTGGTTAGTGTCCAATCTGTCCCCTAAACTCAGCCTTTTGGGAGGTCTAGAGGGCAGTACTTTGTTCGGCATCATATGCTGGTTTATCTGGAGAGATAGAAACAGTTTTGTTATTGAAAATACAAACCTTAGAATAGAGGATTTAGCTTGATCTATACGTATTTTCTTGCTAAATTTTTTGGATGCAAGGAAATTGTATAGAGCTACTGGATTGCAGATTGGACATAGAGTGGAAACCCTTGTTCAGTGGGCCCCTCCGTCAGTTGGTTGGATTAAAATCAACACGGATGGGTCTGCTTTGGGAGGAAATAGACAGAGTGGGTGTGGAGGAGTTTTAAGGGATGACTCTGGGCACTGGTTTATAGGATTTGCTAGGAACCTGGGAGCAGGAAGCTCTGTCAAAGCAGAGCTATGGGGTATTTTACTGGGGTTGCAAACTGCTTGGAATATTGGGTATAGGAAGGTGATCATTGAAGGTGACTCCCAAGTGGCTTTGGACATGATCAGGATTGGATGTGAATCAAGCCACCCTCATGCAGGCCTGGTGAAAAAGATCAACCATATGAGAGATTGTGATTGGCAGGTATACTTTGTCCACACATTCAGAGAGGGCAATGGAGTTGCTGACTGGCTTGCTGGGTATTCTCATTCTTTGAATATGGAGACTGTTTTGCTGGATAATCCTCCTCAAGGTTGTCTTGGGGTCTTGGAGAATGATTTCAGGGGCGTTGATTGGCCCTGTGTAATTAGACAGATATAGTTTAGTTTAATTCCTTTGTATACAAAAAAAGTAGCCTATCAAAACCTTAGCCTTATTAAATAAAAGTCGTCTCCAAAATGAAAACACACGGAAATTAGGTTGCCTCTCGTGCTTTCTCTCTCTACATATACGAATATAAGTTTTAAGTCTTGAAACTCAAAAAAAATAAATTACAATTTCAGGCGAACGGGTTAGCCCGCGTCCAACTCTAAGGTTACGTTTGGTTCAGAAGAAAATTTTTTTAACCATGTAAATGTAATTACTAGAAAATGATAGGAAAGTAAATTTGGTAGGGAAGTTTAAAAAAAATTGTTTGGTTGACCAAAATATTGCTGG